AAAGGGAATCTGAAAAACTGCATGACTGGTTTGACAAGTGGATATTAGTCTTAGACTCCAGCAAATGAAAAGCTATGAAAATCATAGAATGGCAAATACGCCTGGAAATAGTAAATAGACTCAGGAGACAAACACTGCAAATTTCCCTGAAAGAGAAGAACCTTGATGTGATCATGGTCCCAAGCAATTCTCTCAAGACACACACTAACTGATTAACCACTGCAGCAAACGTGAATCTGAAAAATTTAAGGGTAGCTTTCAAAAACATTTATAAGGAGGTATTCACAACCATATGCACAGCATGTCAGGCCCATTTTGGTGTATGCAGTCTCCATATGGGAGCCGCATCTGGTAAAGCATGTAGAGAAACTGGAACGAGTGCAGAGGTTTGCAACGAGACTAGCCCCAGAGCTGAGGGGCATAACTAATGAAGAGGACTTAGAGAAACTTTCCCAGCCAGGAAAGACAGTCCAGTAGTGAACAGCAGATAGGAGCTATTCTTACTCCTATCTCTCTCCCACCTCTTCCACTGTCTTCCCCTCCCACTCTCTATCCCTCTCCTCCCCTCCCTACCTCCCTCCCCTTCTCCCTCCCAACAACAAACACCTCCACACACATACACACGAACACATATCACAAACGACCACATGAAAACACAAGTTTTTTTTTGTGGCGACAAAAAATGGATTGCCAAAGAGCAGAACGGAGAACCAATAACCAAGGGACTGCTGCATGAACCTGGGAGGGAAGATTGGGTGGCAAAGCTCATGAAAAGGGAGGAAGAATGGGGAAGCTAGAAGTGCTTAGCAAGAAAATGGAGAGGATAACTGCAGAGAGCAAGAAATGAGAGATACAAGACATAGCAGCATAAGCTAAGATACAGAACTTAGAAGAGGAACTAAAAAATCTGAAACAGTCTAAAGAACCGAAGAGCAGTAAAAATATGACATCACGAACTGCTACATCAATCACAGATGAGGGGACTGTAGGAAACAAAGGAGCTATACTGTATGCAGAGGCTCTTCAACGTGGAGCCCGGGAAATATATAGGGAAAATCTGGAGCCACACTAGTACCAGACACATGGCGGCCTGAGTTGTTAGAGACGATGGACAACTTCATGACACAACATATCAGTAACACAATTAGAGAAACAGCAGTTGACAAAACAGAGGCTGGACCTTGTGTTCACCCTAAGTGACCCTTGATGTAAGGGGCATGGAATACGAGAGGCCCCTCGGTGTTAGCGACCAACACTGAGGTTCAATTACCTTGTGAAAGTGAACATAAGAGACGAACTTAAAGCATGAAAGAAGGAACAAACCTTACTTTACAAGACGGGATTCTGCAAGCATGGGACATTTTTTAAGTGGCGTGACGTGGGAAAGGCAGCGAAAAGGAAAGACAGTGAACAAAATGCAAGGGAGTGTAGCTGGAAAGTACCAGGAGGCAGAGGAGAAATTCATACCTAGAAACTGAAGACGCCAAGGGAAGAACAGAGTCCATGGTTCACCAAGAGATGCAGGGAGGCAAAAGCTAAAACTGCAAGAGCGTCGAAGAAATGTAGAATGGAAAGGACGTCGAGGACCAGAGAAGCGAGCACAAGAATAAAAAAAGTAATGCACATGAGTAAGAAGAGAAGATGAATCACAACTTCAGAATGACAATGGCTCAAAATCTGCTTTCGATATTAAGTTGTTATACAGCCACAACCACATGACAAGGTAATGTGAAGGCTGAAGAAGTAAGGACGGAAGCTCTTAGGCAATGATCAGGATGTCTGTGGGAAGCTGATCAAAAGATTGAGGGAAGTATTCTTAGTGGAATTATTAACAATACCAGTGTGTCAAAAACGGCAAAGTGCACCAACGAGTGCTGGATACACTACACACAGTGAGAAGTGAGGTGAAGAAACAACTAAGTAAGCTAGATACCTTGAAGGCAATGGGACCAGGCATCTCTTTAAGGGTTTCCAGAAAGATCAAAATATGTGAACCACTAGCAGTTGATCTTCACCAAATCATTTAAAACAATGAAGCTACCTGAGGTCTGAAAAACACTGGACGTCCTCTTGATATTTAAAAGAAGGGACAGGTAGCATTAAGCTGCTGGCAAGTGTCAGTGGAATACGTAGTATATAAAGTTATAAAGAGTATAGGGGAAAAAAGCGGAACTTGGAAAGAAGTGGATTCTAAACAAAAAAAACACGGTTTTAGAGGGGTAAATACTGCTCACAAATTGAAAAAGTTCCGGGGACCCAAAGTAACAAAAAGTTAGGCAGAAAAGGGGGAGAGAGATGAGAGAAAAAAGGGGGTTTTCGATATAGTACCTCAAAAGAGAGGGGGGTACAAGTAGAGAAAAGGAAGCATGGATAAAAGAAAACGTACTGTAATGGTTCGAGAACTGTTAAAACAGGCAGTAAAAAAAGAGTTATTGTCTGGGAGAGGTGTCGGGATTGCGGTGTGACCAGTGTTTTTCCCACTAGGAGCAGTACTGTTTCAGTGAAAATTAGACGACATCCCAGAAAAAATCGAGTAAAGGTGTCAGTGTGGCAAAGAAGCCCGGAATCAGATATGGCTCAGGAGAAAAAGTCTGCCAAATTTCTCGAGTCCCCGGGTATGCAAATAGTGAACAAACCCCACAGCAACTTAAGGGTGCTTTCGGGAACGTCCAAAAAAGGGCATTCAGACCTTATTACAGATATTCGGGCCCCTTCTTGGAGTACGCGCGCCGCATTTTTCCCCCTTTTTAAAACCCCCGAAGTTATAAATTACATGGTTTGCACGTATTAACCCACAGACGGGGCTATGATATAGACGAGAGACTAGAGAAGGAGAACCTTGGACATTAGACGACACCAGGACAAAAGGTGACAGGGTAACGATTTCATAAATACTAAGAGGGAAATTTACTGGGGGACAGGACCATTTGAGAAGCGAAACTCACAAACGAGTCACAGAGATGTTAGAAAAAAATTTCTTTAGCCCTAAAGAGGTCAGGAAGTGGCCAATCTAAACACAAAGTGCTAAGTAGAATCTTCATGAAAAAAAAATAGGTCAATAAGGCTGACGCAGCCGGAGGGGGCCCGGGGGACCCGTAGCCGTCAGCGGGGAGGGGACCAGGAGCTAAGGGGTTACCTTTTCAACCACAAATAGTGAGTACACACAAATGAGCAAAACAGAGCCATTTTGGGGGAGAGGTTGGGAGGGGACGTGAAACCTCGCCACAAGACGAGGGAATGAGGAGTTCCGGAAGACACTTTTTCCGGAAAAAAAAAAAAGAAAAAAAAAAAAAAAAAAAAAAAAAAAAAAAAAAAAAAAAAAAAAACCCCCCCAAAAAAAAACAAAAAAAAAAAAAAAAAAAAAAAAAAAAAAAAAAAAAAAAAAAAAAAGGGGGGGGGGGGGGGAGGGAGGGAGGGGGGAGAGAGGAGGTTGAAGTATGAGGCAGTGAGTTTCTATGGTGTGGCGGTGGGGTTTTGTGTGTGTGTGTGTGTGTGTGTGTGTTTTGTTGTTTAAAAAATTGTGGGGGGTGTTTGTTGTGTTTTTTGTTGTTTGTTTTCTTCCTAGTTTTTATACCCGTTTGGTTGCCAGGTTTGATTCCCCGTCCTGGTCCCCCCTTTCACTATCTACTAAGTCCCCCTCTCCCTTGCTTCTGAGCTTTGCTTCCTTTTTCTTGTTGTGGTTTTTCCCCCCCTACATCACATGTTACTAAATTATTCCGATATTATGCTTAAAAATTTCCCTAAAACCCCTGTCTTTGAGTCTTCAGCTTCCAATTGTGGCCCCTTGTTTGTGTCCCCTCTCTGGAACATCCTATCTCTGTCCACCTTATCTATTCCACGCAGTATTTTGTATGTCGTTATCATGTATCCCTGACCCTCCTGTCCTCCAGTGTCGTCAGTCCGATTTCCCTCAACCTTCCTTCGTAGGACATTCCCCTGAGCTCCGGAACTAGCTTTGATGCAAACCTTTGTACTTTCTCCAATTTCTTGACGTGCTTGAACAGGTGTAGATTCCAAAGTGGTGTTGCATACTCTAGTATGGGCCTGACGTACACAGTGTACAGTGTCTTGAACGAGTCCTTACTAAGGTATCGGAACGCTATTCTCAGGTTTGCCAGGCGCCCACATACTGCAGCAGTTATCTGGTTGGTGTGTGCCTCCGGAAACGTGCTCGGTGTTATGGTCACCCCAAGATCTTTCTCCTTGAGTGAGGTTTGCAGTCTTTGTCCACCTAGCCTATACTCCGTCTGCGGTCTTCTTTGCCCTTCCCCAAACTTCATGACTTTGCATTTGGCAGGGATGAATTCGAGAGCCAGTTGCTGGACCACGTATTCAGCCTGTCCAGGTCTCTTTGTAGTTCTGCCTGATCCTCATCTGATTTAATTCCTCTCATTAACTTCACATCTTCGAACAGGGACACTTCAGAGTCTATCCCTTCCACCATGTCATTCACATGTATAAAAAATAGCACTGGTCCTAGAACTGACCCATGTGGGACTCCGCTCGACACAGGCGCCCACTGTGATCCCTCATCACGTACCATGACTGGTTGTTGCCTCCCTGTCAGGTATTCTCTGATCCATTGCAGAGCCCTTCCTGTTATACGCGCCTGATCCTGTGTGTGTGTGTGTGTGTGTGTGTGTGTGTGTGTGTGTGTGTCCGTGTGTGTGGTGGTGATGAAAGGTGTAGGTGTGTTGGTAGTTATGGTGGTGTTTGTGGTGGTGGTGGTGGTGGTGGTAATAGTGTTTGTGGTGGGGTTAGTGGTGATGGTTGTTATCGTGGTGCTGGTTGTGGAGATGGTAGTAAATTGTGGTGAGGGCGGGGTACTAACCGAGGTTGTTAAAGCTATTCATCTCGACCCTCAGATATATGGTCCACTGAATCAAGGGATACACGCACACGCACGCATGCGCACACACACACACACAACACACACACACACACACACACACACACACACACACACACACACACACACACACACACAGGGGAGCACTAACCTGTAGTGTTGCAGCCATATATCTCAACTCTGAGGCAGATGGTTCGCGGATGAGGGGAGACAGGGATGAAGCGCACCTTGCTGGCCGTCAAAGGAGGGGACAACACGTTCTTCTGCTCCAGGTAAGTGTTGACGTTGCCTGGAAACGTCTGAGGGGAAGAGAGAACGGTGATGAGAGAAAGGGTGGCAGGGACGGTGAAGGATGGCATGGAGGGTGAAGGGTTGCAGAGGTGTGCGAGAGAGGTGATAGAGTTAGGGTTGGTAGGAGGCAGGGTGAAGGAGTGTTGTATGGAGGGTGAGGAATGTGTGAGGGTGAGGGTTAACAGGGAGGATAAGGGTAAACACTGGCAGAAGGCAGGTCCAGTGGAGGTAAACTGTCAATGATCGCAGAGAGAGAGAGAGAGAGAGAGAGAGAGAGAGAGAGAGAGAGAGAGAGAGAGAGAGAGAGAGAGAGAGAATGGGGACAGAGACAGAGTATTAGGTAAAGAGGAAACATAAAATGCTGACGCTAAAGAAATTAAAAAAAAAACATACATAATTCACAAAAATCTAGTATTTAAAAAAATCATACAATATACACAGTGTATAGTAGACTTAAATATTAAGATATCCCTTAGATACCTGGAGTTACAGACGTCGAGCAGCGCTCGCAACACACTTTACAACACAACTGTGTAAAAAACAGTTGTAACATGATATTCATAAATTCTTGTTGATAATTTAGAAGTGTGACAAAATAACTCGAGGAACTATGAAAGAATATGAAGAATACTGAGTGTAATAAGAATAGGTTCGTTGGTAGGTGTGTAGGAAAGACGTCACACATAACATCAAAGTTCAAACTCACATTCTGTGAGAGAAACTCGAGACAATATCGACTACACTTTCCACTCAGTGTTGAGATATTTGTGAACTGTATCAGCTACAGTATTGCGGATTAATTGTGAATTGTTCCAACCACGGAATTGTTTTAGCTCTGTTTTTCCATCTACAGTATTGTGGGTTAGTTGCAAGGTATTGTAGCCACTGTAGTGAGTTGTCAACTGTTCCAGCTACGGTATTGTGGGTTGGTTGTAAGGTATTGTAGCCACTGTAGTGAGTTGTCAACTGTTCCAGCTACGGTATTATGGGTTATTAATTGTTCCAGCGACGGATATTGTGGGTTAGTTGTAAAGTGTCTCAGCCACGATAATATGACTTTTATTAAGCAGTGGATAATCTGTATTTACTCTCGACAGTGTGAACAGAAAACCACATCTTTAAACAGTTATACCAGTACAAACGCAAACATAAAAATACACACAAACATTACTTAGAAGATAATAATAAATCATTACCTCTCAACATCTTAGAAATACATCTGGCTACATTCAACACTAAGTGACGACATTTAGTCTTACGCACAAACAAAATAGTGAGAGCATTCAGCAAGTCAGGCTTTTCCCTGACTCACAAGGAGAGCATCACCTAGGGAAACCAGATGTCACTAGGAACGAGACATATTTATACAGCAGTAACAATCCCGAGCAAACTAGAACCTATCATCTCCCCTCTCGTGGGTCATAAGGGGATTTCTCCCCTCCTCACCCTGGGCGTAAGGCCTCATCCCGGGGATCGAACCTGGGGATAGTTGGGATAGCGAGAGAGTACCCTAACCTTTCAACCGCGACGTACATCGGTAGATGGGGGATACTGTCTGTGTTTTACTGCAGAGTTATGGTATATAAAGTCAACTTTTTATAACTTTCTCCCTCTCTCTCTGCCTCTATGTTGTTCTGTGTATTTTTGTGTCTGAGTCTGTGTCTTTCTCTCTTCCTAACGTTTTGTCTGCCTTTGTGTCTTTGTCTTTCTGTCTGTGTTTTCCTGTATCACTTTTTTTTGCATTTTTTCCCTGTCTTCCTGTCTATTTTAATGTGTTTTTTCTGTCTCAGTCTTTCTACCGTATGTTTCTTTTCAGTCTATGCTCCTGTATGTGTGTTTATATCCTTCTTCTATATGATTTTTTCTTCCCAGATTTACATATATATATAAAGTTCTTAATTATTATCACTGTAGCTATTGTTATTATTTTTGTCACTAGTGAACTTATCGTAAGTACGAAAAATGTATAATGTTAACATCAACGTTTAGATACGTTTATAGTTTGTCTGAGTTTGTGTGTTTACGCAGAAATTGATTTGAACTGACACTTTGCAAAGACGTTTTTTCCTCACTAACAAAATAAAAACAAATCGTTCAGAAGACGTTCAGCCAAATGTGGAATTTAAAAAACAATATTGATTAAGATATAAACACAAATGAACAACAAAACAATGAAAATTACGAACACACACACACACACACACATGAAGATGAAGTCATGAAGATTGAGGAAGGGCAAAGAAGACCTCAGGCGGAGTACAGTCTAGGGGGCCAGAGACTACAAACCTCACTCAAGGAAAAAGATCTTGGTGTGAGTATAACACCAGGCACATCTCCTGAAGCGCACATCAACCAAATAACTGCTGCAACATATGGGCGCCTAGCAAACCTCAGAACAGCATTCCGACATCTTAATAAGGAATCGTTCAGGACCCTGTACACCGTGTACGTCAGGCCCATATTGGAGTATGAGGCACCAGTTTGGAACCCACACCTAGCCAAGCACGTAAAGAAACTAGAGAAAGTGCAAAGGTTAGCAACAAGACTAGTCCCAGAGCTAAGAGGTATGTCCTACGAGGAGAGGTTAAGGGAAATCAACCTGACGACACTGGAGGACAGGAGAGATAGGGGGACATGATAACGACATATAAAATACTGTGAGGAATCGACAGTGTGACAGAGACAGGATGTTCCAGAGATGGGACACAGCAACAAGTGGTTACAGTTGGAAGTTGAAGACTCAGATTAATCACAGGGATGTTAGGAAGTATTTCTTCAGTCACAGAGTTGTCAGGAAGTGGAATAGTCTGGGATGCGATGTAGTGGAAGCAGGATCCATGCATAGCTTTAAGAAGAGGTATGATAAAGATCATGGAGCAGGAAAAGTGCCCTAGTAGTGACAGGTGCAGAGGCGGGACCAGAAGCTGTGAATCGACCCCTGCAACAGCAACTAGGAGAGTACACACAAACAGACACAAACAAGCATACACAACCAAACATATACAGCAATTAATTTTCGTACATATACCCAGGCTTTTGAACAAATACTGGAACACTACGAGAACACACACAAGAACATTTGAACAAGACGAGAACATATTACAAATCACCGCTAGAAAACACACACACAAAACCCGCACTGAATAAAACCACAAGAACAAACAATACGAGAACAAATAAACTAACACCAGAACTAACGTTATTGGAAATAGGCAAAACTTACGCATGCAACGAGAACAAACAAACAAACAAGGTATTGCTGAAAAACAAACTGTGACCACTCCCATACATACAAGCAAACTCCAGCAGACAGTTCAGCCAACGTTGTTTACAAGCAGTTCCACATATCTGGTGCTTGCCACTCAAACTTTATCCTGGGCGAGTGACACACACACACACACACACACACACACAGAGCAAGCCTAAGAACAGCATTCCGACATCTTAATAAGGAATCGTTCAGGACCCTGTACACTGAATGTTAGGCCCATATTGGAACATTATGGCATGCAAAGAGTACGTAACCTTTATTCGGTGCATGTACACACCCTCATTTACAGGCTATCTCCCCCAATCAGCGAACCAGGTGACTGAGGGTTGACGATGGGGCCCCGTCGTTCATCCAGTACCCAGGTTCCAGCTAATGAGAAGATGGTTTTGGCAATCGCAGAGGTTATGTGGGTACCACTCTCCTGTCTGCCCTTGCCATTCCCATTCTAGAGCTGGTTGAAGCACAGTCTGCTCTCTAGTGGCTTCTATTCTGCCTTGCTTACCGTGGAGTGCACTAATACCTGTTGTTGTATATAGTGTACATACTTCTGTTCTAAATTGGTGAATGATAATATAAGTCAAAAGCTTTCTGCTGTGTTCTTTTTGCTCCCTTTACACCCAGGATAACAGGCCTTTGGGACTCCTGGGTTGTAATAAACATGAACCAGCTTGGAACCCACACCTAGACAAGCACGTAAGGAAACTAGAGAAAGTGCAAAGGTTTGCAACAAGACTAGTCCCGGAGTTAAGGTGTATGTGCTACTAGGAAAGGTTAAGGGAAATCGACCTGACGACACAGGAAGACAGGAGATTTAGGGGGGATATAATAACGACATATAAAATACTGAGAGGAATCGACAAGGTGGGCAGAGACAGAATGTTCCAGAGATGGGACACAGCAACAAGGGGTCACAGTTGGAAGTTGAAGACTCAGATGAATCACAGGGATGTTAGGAAGTATTTCTTCAGTCATAGAGTTGTCAGGAAGTGGAATAGTCTGGCAAGTGATGTAGTGGAGGCAGGATCCATACATAGCTTTAAGAAGAGGTATGATAAAGCTCATGGAGCAGGAAGTGTGACCAAGTAGCGGCCAGTGAAGAGGTGGGGCCAGGAGCTGAGAATCGGCCTCTGCAACCACAACTGAGTACACACACAAACACACACACACAAACTACAGTGCCAATCAGCTTCAACTTTGCCTGAGACTTTAGCCAAACATAAATATACCAATTGAATAAAGAGAAGACAGAACTTTTGAAAAAAATTCAGAAAATTGTTGAGGAAAGTAAAGGCACACGGATTGGAGGGGAAATTTTTTCCTGTATAGGCAACAGAGCGCGTTCCTGCACACAAGATGTCGTGCCGAATAGGTAAAATTGGTCAGTTAGCAAGAGCTCATTTAAAATTAAATCCTTTCTAAAATTTTCTCTTATAGGTTTAATATTTTTTTTCATTTATGTTAATGTAAAAATTAATAATTTTGTACCAAAAGAACCTTAGAAAACTTACGTAGCCTTATTATAACAAGCGCAATTTAATTTAGCCTAATTCAACTAAATATATTGTAGATACATTTACAATAATTTAGTAAACACAATGAAATATTTTTTTTTTCGTTAGGTGCAGAATGACTTTTGCGAAATAACTGCATGCACAAATTTTCGCCTGCCTTATTCGGCAAGATGAGCGTTGCTATTTAAGCCAAAATCGCAAGTTTTACCTATTCGGCACGAATTAA